TACTACAGGAACAGGTAATAGTGTTCTTATACCTAGGGTTTGAGCTTTTGAGTTTGGAGAGGGGTGGCACACTGGAAGGAGATTGAGGGGAGAGAAGAGAATCATTGTGTGTGGAAAGAGAAGAGGATCAGTCAAGACCTAAAATCTCAGCTAGAACTCAAGTTCTGGCTATCTTATACTTTTAAGATGGCTGGGTCTGCTTAGCCTGTTTCCTTTTTTTTTTTAAGCGTTTATTAATTTTCCAATAAAAACATCCAATTAACATATCAAATCAAATCCAATAAAAATAAAAAACTAAAATAAAAAAAGGTCCAATTGTCTTCCAAATTGTAATAATTTTGTTTTGACTTCCCACGGTCTGAATTTCGAAGCGCATTCAACATCATAGTTCTGCCTCTCATCATCCTCAATGTTATTCATAATTCCATGTCTGATTTTTCCCTTCCACATTTTGACTCTGGTTCTACGATCCTCACTCATGTCAGAAAACCGATACTTTTTTTTTCCTATGGAGTGCAGATTTGTCTGTATATTGTACTCCTTGAGCTGTTTTTTCATCGCACCGCTTCATTTAATTGCATCCAATTTCAAAGTTCTGTCCAGCTCTTTGAGAGTTGTTATTTTGGCAGCTCCCAGATTGTTAATCTTTCCCGTCCAGGCGTTATCAAAGAAACAGAGAGAAATTTCCTTCTGTACCCTCCTTGTTGATTCATCTTAAACAGACTGTTTGCAATGTAGCCATATATCAGACAGTTAGCAATTGGCCTTTGGAATCTTCCCAGTCCCCCCTCCGGGCCCTAGAGGGGGGCTGCCAGACATCCATTTAGCCCTCTCTCTCGCTCGTAATCAAAAAAACATCTTTTTGCAAACAGTTGTATATGTAATATTGTTTCCAGTCTTTATAACCAACCATCCGTTAGCTCCTGTTTCTCTTAATCAGGGAAGTATTTCAGATATTCAATAACGACGTGGTGGGAGACGCCATTTTGTCCTTTGTCCTTTGTTTTCGTCTTTAACAGACATTTCCGGTCTTAGAAGAGAAGTGGCTGCGAGTAGATCCCAATTATATATGAAAGTCCATCTGAACTCACTTTTTGAAGAGCAATTTAAGTTCTTAATGAGACTTGGTATGCATTACGGATTGTTGATGTTAAGGATAAAATAATGTTTTTTTTACATACCAAGCCCCTCCACATTCCAAACGTCATGATGAGGATCTCTTTGAAGTTCGATCTTTTGCACCAGAGACTGTACATACTGCAGGTTTTTTCCAGCTTCTTCAATTCAGAGAGTGTCTGTTTGTTTTCCAAATCTTTATATTTTCCCAAACAGATGCGTCCGGCTATGGGGTGGCGTCGCAGGAGTGTCAGCCGTCCCTAGCTCCGTGACCCAGTGCCCCTGCCGTCTGCCACATCAGCAATCTGGGGCAGACCGCGGGTCGTTGAGACAGTCCTCCCCTGCCCTGGGGAGGCTGCCAGGGCTAATTACCCCCATATCAGCCCTGAATTATCGGAACGGCTGAAGTCCGATTGTGTGGGATCAGCCATTTTCCACCGCCGGAAACAGGAAGTCCTAGCCTGTTTCCTTTAGGCTTCAAGGATGGTATGGATTTTTTCAGAAAAACCAAAAGTATGAGTTGAAAAGTGGGGTGAAGAAATGAGAAACATTTCATACAGTCCCGAAACAATTAAAAAGAAGTCATAGTTTTAAAAAATCAGCTATAGGTTGGCTTAATGTGAACAAACAATATGATGGTGCAACACTTCTGAGATGCTTCTGCTGTACTCCTCCCCTACCCCAGCCACACTCTGGCTTGTTGTGGTGTCCAAGCTGAGGCTTATGGTGTGTTGTTCTCCAAACAAACCATGAGCAGTCACCATGGTTTATTTTTAGCCAACCGCTCATGGCTAAACCATGGGTCTAGGTTTGGACATCACAACAAGACAAAATCCAGCTTTGTTTCCCAGCATCACAACAGCAGCAAGAATAGGCAAGGAGCACAATAACTTTTCAGCAGCGTATGTGGGCATAAGTGTTGTTTTTTAACTGTGGTTTAATGCAACATGCAATCTAGCTCAGCCTGTGCCCATGGGGCCAGAGACTAAAGATTGTGAGGAGAGAAGGTGGATGTGGTTATTGTTTAACATTTATATTTTGAACCCAGATCTTAGCCTCTATCCACCAGACCATTTTAAATTTCAAGTGAGCCAATAAACCAGTGTTCCCCAGTCTGGTGCCCTCCAAATGTTCTGAACCATGACTCCAAACAGTCCCATTCAGCTGTACTTCAAAACATCTGGAAGGCACCGGATCAGCGAAGGCTAGATGAAGCACTCGGCTTTGAATCCTACTCAAGAAGCCTAAGGCACAACAGCTACATGCAGTTGCTAGGAATTTACATTTAAGAGCAAGATTCTTATAAACCTAACAACGTACAAGGAAACAAAGTGCAGTGAGCCAAGACTAGAACATTGCATGCTTTTGCCAGATGAGGGGAACAATTCGTGTGTGTTCTGCTTACACACAAGCTCATACACTGCACTCTCCTGAACTTTCTAAACTGCTCCCCCTCCCCCTGGAACAAGTTTCAAATATTTCCCCAGAATAGAAGCAGAGAAGCAACGCTTGCTAAAAATAGCTGAGCTGAGGGCTCAGAAGTTAATCGGGAGATCACAGATGACCATACTCCCAATGCCCCTGGCCAAGAATCATATATCTTCCCCTAATGCACAAAAGTAATGGGCAACATTAGCTGGTTGAAAGACAGAAGAAGGAAGGGACCAAGAGATCCCAACTGCCAATGTCAAAAAAGAACAAAAGGTTTCAGCAGCCAGGGACTAATGCTAGGAAGGTTAGCAGGCCATGTATACGCTACATACACATTAAACTTTTAAGGAACCTTGGGAACTGTTGCTTTGTTAGTGGCACAGGAATGAAAAGGAGCCTCAGCTCCCTCTGCCCCCTAAAAAATAAAACATTTCCCAGAGTTATTTATTTACAGTATGCAGTAAAATGCATACACCACTTGACTGTAAAAAAATAAAACCTCAAAGAGGTTTGCAAAGAGAATAAACCATATTATCAGTAGAAACAGTTAAAAACTATTTAAAACATAAAAAACAGCAATAAACTAAAAATGAATTAGAACACACATAAGCATTCTACATACAGTTATACCTCAGGTTGAAGTAGCTTCGGGAGAAGTATTTTCGGGTTGCGCGCTGTGGCGACCGGGAAGTAACGGAGCACGTTACTTCTGGGTTTTGCCGCTCGCGCATGCGCAGATGGTCAAAATGACGTCACGCACATGCACGGAAGCTGCGAATCGCGACCCACGGACACGGGTTACGTTCGCTTCTGGATGCGAATGGGGCTCCGGAACGGATCCCGTTCGCATCCAGTGGTACCGCTGTATCTGGGTAAGCTTGCCTAAACAAAAAATGTTTTTAGCAGGTGTCAAAAAGACTACAGTGAAGGTGCCTGCCTGGTATCAATAAGCAGGGAGTTCCAAAGGGTAGGTGCTGCCACAATGAAGGAACAAGTGGAAAAGGTATTATGTGGCACTTGTAACAATGCCAGGTCTGCAGACAGAAGTGGGCAAACTGGTCCCAAGCTAAAAGCAACACCTCTGGTGAATTAGTTGATGGAAACCAGCAATCTAATTTAATAAAGTTTGGGTTTCTAGCTTAATTGCTACCACAAGCAAATCCCAGGTATGTTTTTATGCTGTCTTGCTTTATATGACCGACAGAATGTATAATGTTAAGGAATCTCACTAAGTCGCATTCCCTTATTTAGGCATCTGGTTGTTACCCATGGTTATTGGAAGCTGGGCATGACTAATCAGTCATCTGCTAGTCAACTTAGTGTTATAAAATATTCTAGGAAGACTTAAAATAAGACAATAAGGTATGAAAAGTTCTCTTCGGGCTCCAGGGAGGGTCTCCTCGCAAGCCACTAGGGAGGACTCTCCAGCTCTCTCCCACCATTTCCTTGTTTGACTCTATTTATTTATTTCCTGACCTGACGCACACATAAGTGGGATGACACCTGCACTTTCAATCTTTACGGAGTTTTGGTACGACACAGCCTAGATGGCACCGTGACAGTGAATCATCCCAATACCACTCCAGACAACCTGACATCTTGCCAAGTGTTAGGATGAGCTTTGTGCTGATGGGGTTTGCAACTCTGTAAGTGCATGAAATCCAACCCTCAAAGAACTACTTAGCAATCATCTTAAGAGCTGCTGACCAATAAGCACTACTTGAGTGAGAGCGCTCATTCCAAAGGAAAGGTGCAGCACTCTTGCCAAGCATGAGGTCTTCCTTCGAAGCCTCAGGCCCTCTGAATTCATCAATGGAATAAACGGGGCAAACTGGAGGGAAGGGGTTTGCAAACACTTGCATGTTGCTCAAAATGTAGTACAGCTCATTGTTGCCATTCATTCCCGCAGAGAATAGCAAAGTATCAAAACATATATTGTCTTAGGAATACTTTTCCTCAGGAACTTCCTTTCTGAGTAGTTTGAAATCCACAAAATGTCCACTAGAACATTTCCTGTGCAAATGCTTTTGAGTTGAAAGATTTCCCTTGCCATGAAGCTAACAAAGGAGAATAAATCTTTAGGAAACTCCAGCTACCACTGGAAATTTCCTTATACAAGGCAGAACACGCACCACCACCTAGTATCTTTATCCAAATACAATCCAAATCCAAATCCAAATACTTACTTTATGAACTCAAGACAATATCCTGAATCACAATCTATGCTAAACTAAACTAGGGCTTAGGTGTTGGCAGGGTTGCAGAAGCAGGAAATGAACTGCTTGCTTGCAATGCTCTCAATGTGCAAAGGGACACTTGCTTGTTCCTGCTAAGCCATTGTTTACATTAGTATTAAAAGGTAAAGGTAAAGGACCCCTGGATGGTTAAGTCCAGTCAAGGGCGACTATGCGGCTGCGGCGCTCAGCCAGACTAGTTGTTCATAATCATCTTGCTTTACACAGAGCTCAATGGACAGAACATGGGACTCTTAATCTCAGGGTCACGGATTCGAATCTCCCGTTGGGCAAAAAAAAATCTGCACTGCAGGGGGTAGGACTAGATGACCCCTGGGGTCCCTTCCAACTCTACAGTTCTATGATTCTATGATTCTATGACTCCTGAATGGAGCATTGCAGTGCACATTGATCATTCTTATCACCATGGCACCTTCTGAAGATACCAGGCCTGAAAGCAAATTATGCAACAACCTTGCTGAAACTAAGCAGGTCTGGCCTAAAGATTGCCTGGATGGCAGCATGTCCAAGAACACAATGTATGAGTTCTATCACTGAAGAAAGCAAGATACGCATAAATGTAATAAAGAAGACCAAATCAATTGCTCACACTAAAGCTCTCTTGCAAATAAATAAATAAATGTAAACATGTTTCACTCTCTCACACATAGCTCTAGGGAGAGAGAGGACTGACAAAAAAATTGATGATATAAAACCAGGTGTAGACATCACCCCCTACACCTTTTCAAAGTTTTGATGATCAAATTTTCATCTGCAGCGGACACTGAGAAATTCCTGGAATCATTTATTGGACAGTCTCATGCAATTTACTGGCAGAGCGGCAATGAGTTGTAAGTTACGGTAGTTGCTGTAACTCAAGGTGTCATCATAAATGAGTTGAAAAAGCAACTTCATAGGAAGTTTGAATCACATGGTGACCCATTCATCACTCTAAGCCAGGGGTAGGCAACCTAAGGCCCGGGGGCCGGATGTGGCCCAATTGCCTTCTCAATTCTGCCCGCGGGCAGTCTGGGATTCAGTGTGTTTTTACATGAGTAGAATGTGTGCTTTTATTTAAAATGCATCTCTGGGTTATTTGTGGGGCATAGGAATCGTTCATTCATTCCCCCCCCCCAAAGTATAGACCAGCCCACCACATGGTCTGAGGGACGGTGGACCGGCCCACAGCTAAAAAAGGTTGCTGACCCTTGGACTAGGCTATTAAGATTTTTATTCCGCTCCAATTCAATATCCAAATATATATTTAAAAAGATAAAAATAATGTATACACTTTTTTAAAAAAATGTATATTAAGTATCACTTAGTACAACATCCTTTGTTTGTTCTCAAACTCGAGATGTAAACAATAGCAGCCTAATCACCACAGCCCTTGAAAGCCAGCCCCCATCCCCACCCCAAAGTCCTTACCCTAACCTCTCTATGGTCCATCTTCCTCAGCAGCAAGATTGAAGACTAAAAACATTTACCTTCCTTTCTATTCTTTGAGACCTACTTGAGGCAAAACCTGATGCACAATGCCAAAGCCATAACTCTGGATTTGTGACATCATTCTGTTGTCACAGTAATTGGCACAAGGTCAGTACTGCAGAATACTCTTCAAATTCAAGACCGAATATTGCCGAAGGCAGGAGAGACCACTGACTGCAAATCAGACCATACAAATACAAATGCAACTGGATTTAAGTGGGCAAACAGGGATGTTAAAATTTCCGTTCTATTCCCTGAAAGCCTTATTTTCTCTAACTGTACTCAGGCTAGCCTATTCACTGCTGAATTACTACAGAAGCATGAAACCCTGGCAGAGTTCACACCGCAGAAGTTGCTTTGTTGTTGTTGTTGTTGTTGTTGTTGTTTAGTCGTTTAGTCGTGTCCAACTCTTTGTGACCCCACAGACCAAAGCACGCCAGGCACTCCTGTCTTCCACTGCCTCCCGCAGTTTGGTCAAACTCATGCTGGTAGCTTCGAGAACACTGTCCCACCATCTCATCCTCTGTCGTCCCCTTCTCCTTGTGCATCTTTCCCAGCATCAGGGTCTTTTCCAGGAAGTCTTCTCTTCTCATGAGGTGGCCAAAGTCTTGGAGCCTCAGCTTCAGGATCTGTCCTTCCCGTGAGCACTCAGGGCTGATTTCCTTCAGAATGGAGAGGTTTGATCTTCTTGCAGTCCATGGGACCAGTACCAGAATTCAAAAGCATCCATTCTTTGGCGATCAGCCTTCTTTATGGTCCAGCTCTCACTTCCATACATCACTACTGGGAAAACCAGAGCTTTTACTATACGGACCTTTGTCGGCAAGGTGATGTCTCTGCTTTTTAAGATGCTGTCTAGGTTTGCCATTGCTTTTCTCCCAAGAAGCAGGCGTCTTTTAATTTCGTGGCTGCTGTCACCATCTGCAGTGATCATGGAACCCAAGAAAATCTCTCACTGCCTCCATTTCTTCCCCTTCTATTCGCCAGGAGGTGATGGGACCAGTGGCCATGATCTTCATTTTTTTGATGTTGAGCTTCAAACCATATTTTGCGCTCTCCTCTTTCACCCTCATTAAAAGGTTCTTTAATTCCTGCTCACTTTCTGCCATCAATGTTGCTTAGCATTTGAATAGATTTCCAATGACACACTAGCAGGTGCTGAAAAAGCAGTTAGGGGTGGGGAACCTCAGGACCATGGGCCAAACTTGGCCTGCAAAGCCGTTTCCCCAAAACCACACCCACCTGCCATCATATGTCATCAAGTATGGGGAAGGTAGATGTGGCTGCCAAGGCACCATCAGGAGTCTAAAATTGCACTGGCAAGGGAAAGTGGGCTTTGGCTTTAAGACCCCTGAGCTGATGAGTGGTAGAGTCAAAGCCTGCTGGGTTGGCTCTGCTAGTGAGTTCTCTGAAGCCTCAAGTGCTTTAAAGCAGCGTTTCCCAACCTTTTCCCGATCACGGCCCCCTTCTGACCTTGTTTCCTTCCTGTGGCCTTCCACCCCGTCCTACCAGTAGAAAGGTAGCAATTTAAATGCTCTGTTTGTTAACAGAACATATTTTATTCATAATTTCTATAATTTATACAAAATACAATTACATAAAATGATAGAAAAATTAAAAAAAATTGTTGAAGCAGAAAAACATAGCTGGAAGGGACCCCAAGAGTCATCTTTCTAGTGCAACTTTCTAGTGCAATGTGGGAAACTCAGCTAAAGAATCCATGACCAATGGCCATCCAACCTCTGTTTAGAAACCTCCAAGGAAAGAGAATCCAGAACCTCCCGAAGGAGATCCATCTTCAATGTAAACAACACTTATTTGACCCCAGTTATTTGACAGAGGGGGAAAACTACAAATAACACTCCAAAAGCATACCCTCCAACATTACTCCAATGAAAATAAGGACGTCATATACCATAATAATAATTTTACTATTTATACCCCGCATATCTGACTGGGTTGCCCCAGCCACTCTGGAAGGCTTCCAACTTATATAAAAACGTAATATTAAACATTAAAATAACTTTCCTATACAGTGCTGACTTCAGAGGGCTTGGGGGTCAGATAACTCCATACCCGCCAACATTTCTCTGCTGAAAATAGGAACATCCTAAGGAAAAGTGGGACATTCTGGTATCAAATCAGAAACTGGGACTTCTCTAAATCCAGGACTGTCCCTGGAAAATAGGGACACTTGGAGGGTCTGCAAAAGGGAGTTCTGTACATATGGGGAGGGGGGGAATTAAAAACAAGTAGTCCTCTCTGACTTGGTGCAAAAATATATTGTCATCTGGAGGAGCCCTGGCTGCCTAGATAAAACACTATAGCCCCCCACCTTTACCTGAGAGTGAGGCCCACTGAGCTCACGACACTTAGTTATTTACTAGATACAAGTCAGCAGCACCAGATGACCCTGCTTGGTTAGGTGCTGGGGTGGATTGCACCCCGCGCCTTGCAGAGTCAGGCCCAGGCTGCCACCTGGCCCAGCACTGGCGGCAGCTACAAGCAGTGGTCAAAATGGGAGCCTCAGTGATAGCCCTCTCCTACTTTAAACAAACCATGACTATACAAATTCAATATAAAATGAAGTGCTAGGCCGCCCCCTGGTGGGCCACCCCCTTACCTGCTTGTGATTTGCCAAGCAGATAGCCAGCCAATCAGGATTTTTTACAAAAATTATTTTTCTTTTCTTTTCTTCTCACTTCCCTCTGTGGGCCCCCATTTATGTAATTTTCACCTGTGGCCCCCTTGGAATATCCTGGGGGGGGGCATATGGCCCCCAGTTGGGAAACACTGCTTTAAAGCACCATACAAGGCTCTTTGCAAAGCCCTGTATGAATTAGACACCCCAACTTTGGGATTTCAGAGCATCCGTCACAACTGATTTCATTGTGGGCAGTTCACCTGTAAAGGCAATCAGTTCACCTGTAACTTGGCCCTAAAGGTATATGGGGTGCTAAAAGGCATTTCAGCCACAACACACCTTTCCCCCTTCTTCAAGTAAACTGGACTCAAACTGTTTAGGCTTTAAAGGTTAGTACCAGCACACACTGACCAGGCCAAATGACAGCACTAGCACAATATAATTGTGTTTCCTATATACAGTGGTACCTCGGATTAAGAACTTAATTCGTTCCTGAGGTCCATTCTTAACCCGAAACTGTTCTTAAACTGAAGCACCACTTTAGCTAATGGGGCCTCCTGCTGCTGCTGCGCCACCGGAGCACGATTTCTGTTCTCAACCAGAAGCAAAGTTCTTAACCCAAGGTACTATTTCTGGGTTAGCGGAGTCTGTAACCTGAAGCGTATGTAACCCAAGGTACCACTGTACATGAGAGAATGAAGCTGCCAACAATATATTAAAAACTGGTAAAGTACATTTCAGGGAAATTGTTAGAAAGGACAAGCTTTTTAACTGTAAGAGGGGTTCAGTATGAAGAGGCGCCCCTGGAGATGGTTGACTTGCATATCTTTACAACATGTGCCAAGGATACTGTAAACTTAAGACTTCCTTCCTTAGGCAAAAAGACGAGACACCCTATGAGTCCCTTCAAAGTCTAAGATTCCAGTTCTATTCTACAGCTACTTAGCTACCACAGAAATGACAAGAAAATTGAAATTGGACACCCAGGCTCAAAGGGAGACGAGAGCTGTGTTCCCTAAGCTGAGAGATAAATTCTTGGGCATATCTGTTCTGAGTGTGATTAGATCACTTCCTGACTCCTATGCAGAGACAGCAGAATTTTCCTCCTTCACTGACAGCTGACTGGAAGGGAAAATATCCAGAACCTCACAGGACTTTGTTTCT